GTTGGAGCCTGGGTTGCCACCGTGGAGGTTTCTCCTGGAGCAGTTTTGGCTGAGGGTGTTGTGGTGCTTCCCACTGTGGTCCTGGAGGTGCTGGCTGTGCTGGTGGCTGGTGTGGGCACTGTTGGTGTGGGTGTGATGATGGTGCTGGTGCCTTTATTTGTCTGGGCACTTGTCCTCAGCGCACCTGTTGTGCTTCTAGTGGTTGTCTTTTCCTTTTGGGGAAGTGCTTCAGGAGTTGTGGAAGCAGTAGTGGGTGATATTGTTGTTTTAATAGCAATAGTGGATACGACATTCGGAAGGGTTGCTGCTGTAGGGGTTTTCGTGCTGCCAGTGGTGGTTGTAGATCTGCTGGCAGTGCTAGTGGCTGGGTTGGGCACTGTTGGTGTGAATGTTGGGACAGTTGTGCCTTGTGTTGGCAGGGCAGTAGTACTGGAGACAGCTGTGGTGCCAGCAGTGATTTTTGTTTTTGATTCAGGGACAGTGGAGATTGTATTGGGTGGTGTTGGAGCCTGGGTTGTCACAGTGGAGGTTTCTGCTATAGGAGATGTGGTTTGGTAACCTGTTGTTGAGATTTGAGATGTTCTTGCTGTAAGTGAAGTTTCAGTCACAGTAGTTGTTTTTTCTCTGTCATTTGGTGATGTTGTAGTTACTTCACTCTTTTGCCCTTCAGTTTCTTGTTTTTGTGTTGTCGGTTTTATCTTTGTCTGTACTGTGAATTGTGTTGATTTTACAGCAGTAGTTGTTGTGAATTCTCTTGTGGTTATTGGTGTTGTAGATTGTATTTCAGAACATGGTATGTATCTGCAGCATGATATTCTGATTTCATAATTATAGCACTGCTTAGATTCTTGGTCCTGGTTATTGCATATTAATCCTCTGCTTTGACTGCACTGTATTGTTTGGTTAAGGTGGTTAATTTCTGTATCCGGGTGTTCTTTGGCTCTGCATTGAACACCATTAGGGTTTGTACACACACTGTATCCTTTTTCCTTGAGACTTTCAAATGTTTCATAATCTCCACTGTCCTCTTTGTTTTCAGGCTGAGTAGAATCATACCATTCTGACCAGGTACACACATTTTTCACACATACAGTTGTCACTGGTGTTGCAGTTGTCATTTCTGTAATTAAAAGGAGGAACCATAAGTCTTGTCTGCTCTTATTAAAGAAAGTGCCAGGAAAAATTATTCATCTTCCATATATTTTTTTTGTATATAATTTTTTATATAATGTACTATTTTAATTTTAGTGAACTTGCTTAGGCAGTCTTGAATTTAATTTCTAAAGTAGTTTTTGACCTTTTGTCCATATTATTATCATTATAGTGGTACTTTCTGTGACATCTATTAAAAATTGTAGCTAAATAAAGCTAATCTGATATCCTTTGCATGGTACATTAGTACTTAGATAATATAATCTCATGATTTCTATGGTATAAGTAGAGGAGGTTTTATTCTCCTTGCTATTATCTCTGTATTTATTTACTCTTAACTGCATAACCATGCAGACTTTAAAATATTTTTACAGAATAATGACTTTTCTACTTATTTTAATATTATAACATGTAACACATTTATAAACCTGAAATATAATACATATATTTAACATATATGTATTTTGCATATAGTGCATTATAATAGAGAATACACATATAGTATATATGAAATACATAATCTAATAAGTATTTTCTAGTTATTTTAATAAGATTTTTTTTCATATTCTTAGCATTATGAAGATGACCACGTGGAATAGATACCACTTGCTTCACATGAATGTTGCTTAACAGAAGACTTAAATTTGAATATTTAGTTCTTCCTGTAGTATAATTTTTTGCGAATATTTCTCAAAATTACTGAGAATTTGGTCACTGTAATGAATTGACTGCAGGAATAAAGTAGAAGTGTACTGTGGGAGTAGAAGGAAACTGTTGATTTGGTTATTAAGTACAATTAGGAAAGGTTCTAAACAATGGTTATAAATAGTTTGAGGATTTCCTCAAACTAAATTTCTTATCTTCAATTGGTAGTAATGTGCTCTGTAGTTTAAGAAATGGCAGCAATTGTCTTTCATGTTTTCAGAAGTTGGTCTAGAACTGCTGGTTTTTGTTAGCAAGGAAATTAGAAGATTCTCCAGGATGCAATTATTAGTAAGCTCTATTATTTTTTTCCCCTGGATAAACCATGGTGAAACAGTGGAGATTGGGTTTGTAAGAAATGCTGTACTCATTTCTACATCCTTATTATGGTCTTCTTTGGCAACTGAAGCTGCCAGGTGAATTGGTGGCTCCAGCAGAAGTCAGCGTTTTCAAGTAAAATCATATGCCATTAACTGATGAGAAAATCCTCCCTTTCAGCTAATTTTCAGTCACTCACAGAAATTTTTCACTTATTTTAAAGATTATTCATGCATACCTGAAGTAGTAGTTGTAGGCTGACTTGTAGAAAATGTAAATGGAGTTGTTGTAAAAATGCCACATTTAAAGATGTTCCTGCTTATTGTTCCATTGACATCGCATGTTGCACTGAAACACCATCCAGTTCCATCCGTGGTGTTATAGATGAGTTCACCATATTTATAGCTATTTCCTTCATAAATGCAGTGGCAGGCTGTAATTCAGAAGAAGTTTATTGTCAGGAATCTATGAAAAGGTAATATCCATTATTTCATTTTCTTAATAATTTTTCTTAGCTGTCTTACCTTTATCATCAAACTTGCACTGTAAACCTTCTGATGTGCACTCACTGAAATAGAAAGCATAAAAACCCATATTTTTTTGATTGTGATGTACTTTGTTTAGTCATCTTTCTGATAAATACTGGCATCAAAAGGCAAGGCACTTTATATGTGCTTATTCCTTTAGTGTCCAGTTGGTTTTGTCTTCTTTTTGGCCATCATTTTCCCAAATCTTTCTTTATATTAAACCCAAACTTATAAATAGAAGTGAAGTTAAATTTTACACAAAGCTACAGGTAGAAATCTTAAGGAAAACTTTCCTTATTTCCTTCATATCACTTTCCTTGCACTTACAATGTTTTTGTACTAAATAGCAGGCTAAAAAGGGAGACTCTAAATACTCAAGTGATATAAGTATGTAATAAAATACTTGGAAGTTGGTCACTATTAGATATCTTTAGTCCTGGCACAATGTTTTCCCTGCCACAGGAAAGTGAAATAGAGAAAGCCTGGTCATAAAGGACTTCTTGTTCTTAATGTATCTTTATGCTGAGAATTTGCAATATAATCAGGAACAAAATCAATAGAACATAAAATCATATAAAACCTACTTACTAATGTAGTAAGAAAACCACCATTAGATAGTAAGGCATTATTTTTACGCAGGCAGCATAGCCTAATCCTGTCATGTAAACGGAACATGCAATTTCCCACTTTCTTTTGATCGTTTTTCCTTGTATGTGATGAGGCTGGTATGTTAAGTCTTACCATATATTACATTCATCTCGTTTATATATCTTTCCATCTTCATCATCGTAACAGTCACAGAGACTAACACACTTCATCTGATCCTCATGGAAATATGGCTTGTCTGGTGGGCAGTTAGGGTAGCAGCCTGGAGGAAGGAAGGGGGCATGTACCAGGTAGAAAAGGTAAGAATGAAATACTGTCAGCAGAAGTTTTATTTGTGTAGAATGCATTTTCAGGTCTTGTTTTTAATTGTCATAACATTTTCATTTATTTTTTTCCAGTAACTCTAGTAAGTAATGCAGAGTACTAGCATCAGCAGAGCCCATCCACAAGGACGTAGTCTTAGAGATCTTTTTCACTCCAGTTTCCATACTCTGCCTCCATTCATGTGGATATAATGATATTGAAGAGAGTTGAATTGTGCAAATGCAGATAATGGGGGAAATACACTCCATTAAAAACAATTAAAAATATAATAATATGTACCCTCTAAAAGGTACTTGCAGCTCTTTTTACCTTCTAAACCTGGCAAGTCATTGAGGCATTTTCCACTTGGATTCCTACAAGTCTTCATACAGGAGGCTCCACAAGGCTTATAGTGCCATTCACATTCTCCTTGTTGATTGTAGTAATCACAGAACAGTGCTAAGGAGAAACAGAAAGTTGGACATGTTCAGAAAAAAAAAAAAGGCGCAAATATCTTAAGCATGAAAAATCTACACAGTGAGATTCTAACCCACATATGTAAGATACAGCATGTTTCAAGGACATCAGCAAGATACTGTACATTTAACTACACTTTTAGAAGAAATGTTTATGACATAAAACTCACGACAAATTGATGGGCTTCTCCAGGCTACGCATACACCAACTTCACTGCACGCTTGGGCATAGGCAGCTACTGCTGTACAGAAGCAATCACAATCTCCTCCACTGTCACAGGCACAAGCATCTGTCACACATGCTTGGTAATATTTTGCTGGTTCAACCTGTTAGTAAACAGAAGCGTGATACCATACATCTTGCCTTCTAAATTCTTTCTTAGCTTTGCTAGAGTAATTTTCTTAAAATTGGAGCATCTCAGAAGGAAGACCTACACCAGTAATTTCTCTTTCTTTTGTAGGACACTGTTGAATGCTAGAGCTGATGCCAAATGATACATTCAAATCATATATTGGCAGATTTTTAGACACCCAGACATGTCCTGGGGGAAGATTAGATTAATTTTCCTGAGAAATATTAGGCAATTGCACAGAGTTATCTGGCAGTGTTTGGTATGTACTTAGTGTCAGATAAAGGCTATGCTGATACTTCATTACTATGTTATTACTATGTTGAGCTTGTGTTCTGTACCTGGTATATGAGAAATTTTTATTCAAGTCAGGCTATAAGGAAATACATAGTAATTATGAAATTATTATTCTTTTGTAATATGTGAATAATTCTTATTAAGTCTTTTTATTTCTTACAGGTAGGGACTATAAACCTGTCCCACTCAGTGGGATTCAGATTGAAGTTTTTCTGACACTATCTGAAGTGAAACATGCTAATAAGTGAGACATGCATGTTAAAACATATGAGGATAGCACCTTCAGTGACACACAGACTTAGTTTTCACACAATAAACTTCTGCCCTGGTAATACCTGAGAGTGACAGGCAGCAAAGACGTTGCTGTTGATGATGCTACACTGCTTCTCTGACCAGGACTTTCGGTAAGGGTTGGTAGAACATGGGTCCTTGATGTCGTTAGCATCAGGACATGTAGAGGATACTTTCCAGCTGTTTCCAAACTCTAGGACATTCTCTACTACAGACTGACTCCTTGTAGTAAAGTCATTGATGCTGTTGCCATCATAATTTCCACAGAGGCCACAGATCTGGCCCTGCAAAAGGAAGTAAATAAAATAATAATGGGTGTGAGAAAACTTGAAACAACATCTGAGACTGAAATAGTACTTGAAATCCAGCTCTTGGAATGGTGCCATTAATGGTGCCATTCCTTTCTATCAGTCCTGAACATCTTCATGCTCTGTTTCCTCAGCAACAGATCATGACCACTAAGGCTAAAAGGATACCACTCTTGACTTTTCTTCTTTGAAATCTGAACAAAAAAACCATCTTTGTCATTGTAACCTTCTGCTTTGACAAGAAAATGAGGACTCAGCTGATTAAGATTTACACTTGAGCCTTGTTTTATACAAGAGATGTACATATAAAAAAACAGCCTTATAAAGCTGTCATAAGTATTACCAGTTCAGCCACATAATCTACTCATTGTGTCTTTACTACTCAGACTGCTAACAGGTATAAAAAGAAATAACATTTTCCTTGCACATCCAGAAATATCCCTCATTCTGAATATATGGATCTGTACAACTGTGGTAGGCTGCAATAGATGCTATGCTTTCTCTATGAATCTAAGGTGCATACTTTCCATATTACTACTATTTTTATAAAATGCTAGTGGGTGAGGCAGCAAAAGAACCCATGGTACTGAAGCAAGTTGGTATATCTAGATCTAAATTACGTTTTATTTATATACCTGATTTAAATGTCACTGTGGTATACAATAAGATAGCAAACTCCTTATTTACTACAGTTTTTAGTACTTATGTATCATAAGCTAGGCAAATGAGTATGACAATGAGAATGCATTTTCCTTATCACCTGTGTAGTTACAAGCTTGAAAAATATGTGGTAGCATACAAGAGGCTTTCACTCAAAATATTCACTCATAATACACTTCCTTGTTCCTGAAGTATAACAATTTGACTTTTGTGTCAATGAGAATAGGAAATAATGTGCTAGTTCCACACCTTAAAATCAGGGCTGAGCTTGATGAAGATGCTGGTTTTCTTGTCCCACATGAGGATCAGTCCGCTTGTGGTCTCAATTACCAAGTACATACCCATATAGCGGATTGTGTATGGCACCTCATCATTTTGTCCTCTCTGTACTACACTGACATGTTCTTCACCAAGTATCAGTTCATAGCTCTGAAACAGGAGGAAAAGGTGATTAGAAATGAGCTCAGTAGCTCTCAAACCTGTTTTTCTGCTTTTAAGAGTACTATGAATAATTTATATAATGAAAACAAATCAGCAAAATTATATAGCTCAAAATTATATTGCTCAGATCTCAGGTTCCTGGAAATGTGGTAAAAGATATTTTAAATGGCATAGGCCTAAAAAGGGTCTTTTGACCGTCATGGAGGAACTACATTGCATAGAATAAAAGAATATTCTGACACAATAGGCTAACTTTCTGTTAAAAACTATTTTTCTGTAGTTTTACCAAGAGTGGTATAAGATAGTGTGGGAAATGGAAAATATAGAAAGCTAGGAAGCTCTACCAAATATTTCACTTGCATCTAATGTAAACCTAACTTAATAGTTGAATTGCTTTTTAAAATATTTTCCAACTTCCTTGAATCAATGGATACCTAGGCTTCTCCTAAGCCTTAATAGATACAGAACAAAACTGGTCTATATGCAAAACCTTATTACCTCTAAGAAGACTTTGATGGATTTTGAGCAAGTTGTCCCAGTGTTGCCACAAGGAATATTTTCAGTGACAACCCTGAAGGTCCCGTTGGCTGAGCCACAATGGTCCTGGGTAGAGAATAACATTTAAAAATATATTATTTTTACAGACACCATCAAGATTACCTCATACTTGTTACTGTTAACTATCAGTACCTGCACTAGTGTGTATTCACAATTTCCATTGAAGCTGAACGTTTTGTCATCAAAGGTATTATAATGACCATCTCCATAAACAGCACAAGTGCCCAGACACTGATTTTTGGTACATTCCCACTTCCTATTCTTGCATACACTAGAAAAGAGAATAAAATATATTAATAATAGAACAACTCACTGTTTTGAGTAGACATACCCCAGCAATCAGTGTTTGTTTGGCAACTCACCCCTGGTATATGTTATATTGATTATGGAGTTAAAGTAGTCTTTTACATTTTTCATGTAAAGAATTAAAACAAAGTTCTGTTCTGCTACTCTGAATACATTAACTGCAAAACAAGATACTTAATGAAGCCTGTAGCCCTAAATGTTTCTTCCCATTCTGTGCTTTGGCCATCTGATACAGATCAGAAGGCAACCTGGTCATGCTGTGTAATCCAAAACAAGAAGATCCATCAACTGATTAAATGTGCAATCCGAATCTTTCATCACTGCTGTACTATTTTAAGATCTTTGGAAAGACAAATGAGGGAACCAGGAATGTTACTTCTACAGATGTATTTACCAGGTGTTACAGTCAGAGTTGATCTTTTCCCCAGGCTGATACATGGCTTCATTGTGAATGCAAGGACATTCATCTTCAGGAATACAACCACCATTTCCATCTAACACAAGCCCATTTGGGCACATGCAGCCAGATGTACATTGTGAGCTATACTGGAAAAGACAAGAGAAAGACATAATTTCAGAATGAAATAATCACATTAAGAAGAGGAAGATTAAATTATCATAAAATGTCTTTATATATTCTTTTTGCTGCCCAGGTTAAATGGGAGAGAACTATAAAGTACTTCTAGGAAACAGAACAAAAAGGAAGTTATTAGCCATTCAATTAATAGAATATAAATCTGTTAAAGATACATGTTTTATGTATGTCAATCCTCATTGTTCTTGTGGAATCTGTGAAATTTAGAATACATTGGATCTTGCACTTTGTAGTGGGTGATTTGTGATTGAATGGACTTTTAAAAAGAAAAGTAAGTAAAATCTTTTTCTGGTTTGGTTGAGCTACACTGAAATTGTTTATCTGATATGATACTTATTTATGAAATGCCATGTGGCCACCAAGAACCTAGGTGGAGTCATATTATTAGATGTGCAAGAAGTTCACAAATGCAGCAGGATATGAGAAAGAATAATTTCTTCTAGACAGTTTTTAGCCACTAATTTTCTCCTACAGAAGTCAAATGTGTGATAGAGCCCTAGATTTTTCACTACTGGTTCCAGTTACCTGCAGTAGCTGAAGTAAGGTAAACACTAATCTCAAGATCTAATTTGGATGTTACTTTATTATATTTTGATCTAAGGGTCACAGTGCTGATGCTTCATAACATTGTTTTAGGCTTTTGTTATGAGAATAAAGTATCCGTGTTGTAGATGTTGAGTAGATCCAGTGGATCAATTACTTTAGCAGTAAGAGCACAGACAAAGCATGGAAGCACCATTCAGCGTGACATACTTACACACTGCATATCCAGAGTCTGGCAACTTTTTTGACATTCTGCTCCAGTTTTTCCTGCAGTGATGTTTCTACAGTCAAAGTAGACCATGGGAGATTTACAGACTAGAGGAAGGAAAGTGAGAGTAGTAAAGAAATGGCATAGAGTTTATTCCACAGTTGTAGCCATTAAAACCATCTAAAAATTCTTCGGAAATTCCTTATTTCAATTAGTAGATTGTTGTCCCTATTCAATCTGTTGATTAGATACACTTCAGAGCACTGAATTCTCAGGAAAATAACTCCACATTATTTCAGAAAAAAAAGTCTTTATGTAAAAAGAGGTCTTATGATTAATGTAGGCACATTCCTGCCTTTTATGATAACTATTGCACTATAACTAAATGAGAAATACTTCTATTAAAAATCCATTAAGAAGAATCAATTCTATGAACTATCCTCTGCAAAATCTGACAAAGAGAAAAAATAAGTGGAAGATTATTTTCACCTGGAGTTGGATTCGGTGCTCCAATGCAATTCAGTCTTCCCTGGACACAAGAGCTGTGAGAGAGGAAAAAACATATTCCAAAATGCTGTTTCGCAGTCTCAGGAAAAAAATTTCCCTTAATAACACTACATGCGCTGCTTCCATATGATATCCATTATTGCTTAACAGGAAAATTCATAGGTTGTGATGAGTATACATCTCTGCTTGTTATTTACATTCTCATAAGATCTCTCCTTGCTGGTATTGTCATAAATTTATACTTGAAAAATTATGGAATTAAATAAAAAATGCCCATAAATATAGTTGCTCTATCCATCTAGAAATATCATAGAAACATATGGATTGGAAAAGACCCTTAAGATGGAGTCCAACCAGCACTGCCAAGTCCACCACTAAACCATGTCCCTAAGTGCCACATCTGCATGTCTTTAAATACCTCCAGGGACGGTGACTCAACCACTTCCCTGGGCAGCCTGTTGCAATGCTTTACAGCTCTTTCAGTGCAGAAATTTTTAACATCCAATCTCAAGCTCCCCTGTGTACCTTGAGGCCATTTCCTCATGTCCCCTATCACTTGTTACTTGGAAGAAGAGGCAGACCCCCACCTTGTTACATCCTCCTTTCAGATAGTTGTGCAGAGCGATAAGGTGCCCCGAGTCTCCTTGTCTCCAGGCTAAACTTCCCAGCTCCCCCAGCCATGCCTCATAAGACTTGTGCTCCAGACCCTTCACCAGGTTTGTTGCCCTCTCTGGACTTACTCCACCACCTTAATGTCTTTCTTGCAGTGAGGGGTCCAAAACTGAACACAGGATTTGAGGTGCACTCTCACCAATGCCCAGTACAGATGGACGATCACTGCCTTAGTGTCAAAGTACAGGTAGTCAACATCCACAACCTTTCCCTCATCCACTAAGTGGGTCACCTGGTCATAGAGGGAGATCAGGTTGGGCAAACAGCACATGCCTTCCCTAAACCTATGCTAGCTGGGCCTGATCCCCAGGTTGTCCCGTATGTGTCACATGATGGCATTCAAGGGGATCTGTTCCATAATCTTCCTTAGCACCAAGGTCAGGCTGACAGGCCTGCAGTTCACCAGATCCTCCTTCTGGCCTTTGTTGTAGGTGGGCAGCACATTTGCCAACCTCCAGTGAACTGGGACCTCACTGGTTAGCCAGGACTGCTGACAAATGATTGCAAGTGGCTCAGTGAGCCACCAGCTCCCTCAGTACCCTTGGATGGACCCCACAAGCATAGGTTTGTGTGTTTTTAAGTGATGTAAAAAGTTACTAATGATTTTACTTTTTATTGTACTGGCTTCATTCTGCTTCTGTCCCTGTCTTGCAGCTCAGGGGAATATGTACCATTCGTAAAAGTTGAAAATGAAAGAACTTAAAGCTGAAGAAATTCAAGAGAAGAGCGCTATATTGAAATTCAGGAGACAGGATGAGACCATCTTAAATGTAACAGATTCTAATGAGAAACTAGGTATGCTGCTATTGCTTGAACGTTTTTCAAAAGATTCACTTACCATACTTGCCCATTTTCATGGACAACTTCTCCAAATGGTATGGGAGATCCTCTGTAGTAGCAGGGGCATTCAGTAGCGGGCACACATTTGCCACTCTCATCCATGTAGGTTCCGTTTATGCAGGTGCAGCCGTCAACTGGGACAAACTTAATGTTGCATGTGACATCAGGCTCACTCAGAGACCGACAAGTGGGTGGACAGGAAGAGATGGTATAGCTGTAGCTTAGGGATTTGGGACATGAGGTAGTGTATTTTGCTTGAGAGAGGAAAATAAAATAGCTTGTTAATTCCAGATGGTAAATTCTCACGAGAAAAAAACCAGCATAGGCAGTAGAAATAACATGTAAATAATACTGTGCACGTGTGCTTATGTTGCATCTTTCATGTAAATGTATTTCTGAATACTTCCAGAGTTAGATCTGAAAAGCTACTGTACATGTGGAGTAACTGATGCCTGCAAAGAAGAAAATACTTTTTCAAATGAAGGCTCAGAAAGTTCAGAAATCTCCATTTGGTGTTGCCATTCATTGCCAAGACTCCTAAATTCCTTGAAGTATGAGACAAGATGTCTCCCTGAATGTCTTCTGGTGTGCTGAAAACAGACATGCTGGATGAGCAGAACCTTGCATGCAGCTTCAAAGACCTCTCATTTGCAAGTGGTATTATAAGTACTGTTATTCTAATATGTCACATTTTCTCTACAATAACTTTTGACAAAGCTGTAGTTCAACTCAAAGTTCAGAAACAGGTGGAGGCACTTTCATAACAGCAATCCCTTTCCCAGTCAAGCTATGTCTCCCATCTGTTCCTATTCACTCTTGCTAGACAGGGATTGATTCTAAGGGGACAGCAGAGAATCACTTCCGGGAGTGCACTTGACAAAATTCCTTCCTCAACAGTTACTAATTTGTCTAGAAATGAGTAGAAAATAATCTCTGATCAGCAGTTTTTATTGATGTGTGTTCTTAGGAAATGGGGTAGTTAAGAGTACTTACTGCAGACATCAGTCCTCCATCCCTGCAGCTGGATTCCTTTTGCAGCACAAGCTCTCACATAGGAGGACAGGGCTGCACACAGACAGTCCTCACTATTTTCACAGTTACATGTGTCAAACATGCAGTTCTAAGAATGGAGAGAAAAATAAAGTCTCAGCACTGCTAATATGATCAATCTAAAAAAAACAATGAACATTATCTTTCTGGTCTTACTCCCTAATCCTTCTTCAGATATGCTTACTCATAGACCCCAGTAACATAGCTTTTATCACTGTCTAGTCTTTGTCTAAGTTTCCTGGCAGGAGAGAATGCAGGTAATGGAAGTTCAGTTCGTGTCTGCAGTTATTACTAGGAAATAGTGATCTTCAAGTCTGTTATACATTTAACAGCTTCATGGTCCTCTGAAACACATTCATGGATATGCTGCACAATAGCATACAAAGCTCTATTCACAGCATGCAGTTCAGACACATCCTTTCACTGGTGTCTGTACCTGGATGACTCCTAATGAGAAGAAAGATTTGCAACATATTGATAACAGAATTATGATTATTAGGTAATGGGCATTCTGTGCCAAGTGGCTATTAATGAGATACCAGGCTGATGAGATGAAAATTCACTGATACACAAACAAGCATTTGACATGCGTTTACATAGGCTTTCTGCTATAAGTCTAAAACCTTCCAGGAGTAAATACCTGCCTTTTCATTTGCAAACAAGTCAGGATCTTGAAGCCAAGACTGACAATTGAAATAAGGTAATGTTACAACACAAACAGAAACACATGTTGAAAGAAGGAAGTGCTGCAGTACAGAAATTAAGATATTGGCATTGCATAAGACATGTCTGGAACAGTCCTTTTCTGGTAGCTAGTTGTAATGATTCCATTTCTATTGTTTCTAAAGGGAAAAACAATCTAACAAAGTACCGTGTGGTAAACAGCGGGATTCACTGCATAGTGGCAATCAGCAAAAGGTCCTGTGCTGTTAGTTAGCAGTCCACACCAATACTGAGCGTATTTTTCTGTGAAAAGAAGAAACAATACAAATGCACATTACTCTTTGTATTTCATTAGTCACAAAGCCACGCTGCCCTGGTCTATGAAGCCAGTTCTGACACTTTGTTAAATTTCTTCTTCTCTGTCTTTTTTTTTTTTTTCACTCAGCTTGTGGTCTAAGGTTCCTATAACCAAAGAAGAGGACTTGCTGAAGGGGATGAATAAAAGGTTTGACCTTACAGTTTTCTTCAGCTGTGTTTCTCTGGATCTTCTTTTATTTTGTTACTTATCTTCAGTGCTTTCATTTCTGAATATTTGTTTCTGATTTCAGATGCATGTTTTTACCAAATATGTAAATCTTTATTTTTTATCTTTGCTTTCCAACTGATGTGTTTTCCTTAGGGATGAGCAAACAGAAGAAAAAAGCAAACTAGAAAAAATTCTAAGAAGCACGCACCATTATCAATGCTGAGTGCACAAGGGTTCTCAAAACTCTGCTGGATATTGGGGCATGAAGCCTGAGTTTTCCATGTATTAGCAAATGCTGTTGCTGTTCCTTCAATTATTCCACTTATGACCTTGAAGTCATCAGTTTGGATATTATTGAAGTTTCCACAGAGACCTGTTGAAAAGCAGTGAGAAGTTTATACTGCTCATATTACACAAAAGGCATTAATCAAGATGTTCTTATTTCATTCACTTACCACAAGTCTGGTCTTTGAAAATAGGATCCAGTCGCACAAACACTTGCATTATAGGTATGAACTGGATTTCAAGGTGGACCCCAAAGTTTGTCTGCATGATCATGAAGAATGATGAAGGTCTGAACATGGTGACATTAGCTACACATGAAAAACAAAATGATCACTCTCAGGATGAGGTCAAATGCTGAAAACCTGACACTGTTCTTCTTGAATGTCTATCACAATTGTTGCAAATTCTGAGGTGAAATAAAGCCAATCTTTGTGAAAATTAATCAGAAATATAAATCAAAATTTATTGTTCAAAATCTACTTGCAGCTACCAAGTTATTAGCTTTATTTCCTTCCAGAACATAAGCCATTAGAGATTACTACTTCAAAGAGAATAAGTAGGAAAAACTGTATGGCACTGAGAGTTAAAAAGAATATTTCTGTTTCTAAGCTTGTACAGAATACATTGGAGCCCTTACTCTGCTGGAGCAGGACAATAAGGAGATCTGGGGGTCAGAGATATCGCATGGAAGCATTAGTTACTGAAACGAAGCAAAATTCAGATTTCTTTCTAAGCAAGTGTGAGCACAGGGGTAGTAGTTAAAAAAAAGAGGTAAGAGAGGTAAAAAGATGTCTTCTGCATTCAATTTTGGGCAGTAAGAAAGAAGTAAACCTGAGAGTGATCAAATCAGGAGATTGTAAATGCTGTTTACTACTATTTAAACTCTTGCCTATGCTTGTACTGTCTCTCATTTCTTTATGACACCAAACATTTCACTTTATTTCAAAAGCACTTGTATCATTCATTGTTGTAGAGAAAAAAAATACCTGCTGACATGGGCAGCTGGGTGTAGATTGAGTTCACAAACACACTACGATCAGGTCTGACCTCAATGACCTATTAAGGAAGGGGAAAAAAGACAACTGTGTGAATCAGACTGGTCTGGGTTGGGAAGGACCTTTAAAGATCTTCTAGTTCTAACCTCCCTGCTATGGGCAGGGACACCTTCCATTAGACCAGGTTGCTCAAAGCCCCATCCAACCTGGTCTTGAATACTTCCATGGATGGGACATCCACAACTTCTCTGGGAAACCTGTTCTAGTTTTTCACCATCCCCGTGAGGAATTTCTTCCTTATATCTAATTAAACCTGCCCTCTTTCAGTTTGAAGCCACTCCCAAAAAATCACAAAGTGATTGTTCTATGTGCCCTAGTAAGAAGTCCCTCTCCAGCTTTCTTGTAGGCCCCCTTTAGGGACTGGAAGGTGCTCTAAGATCTCCCCAGAGCCTTCTCCTCCCCAGGCTGAACAACTCCAGCTCTCTCAGCTTGTCCTCATAGGAGATGGTCTCCAGCCCTCTGATTGTCTTTGTGGCCCTCCTCTGGGCCCGTTACAACACGTCCATGTTCTCCTTAGGCTGGGAGCCCCAGAGCTGGATGCACCACCCCAGATGGGGTCTCATCATAGTGGAGTCAAGGGGCAGATCACCTTCCTTGACCTAGTGGCCACACTGCTTTTAATGCAGCCCAGGCTGGCTTTCTGGGCTGCCAACCATCTGTGAAGAATAACTATAATCCAAAGAGTAATAATGGTGATATTAATTAAACAGATATTCAATAAAAAGGGTAGGACTTTGTGATTTAACCTCCTCCCTGTTTCTACCTTGTACCCTTTACTAATTTCCCCTGCTGCAAAAGAATAACTTTTAAAGTGACTTTCTCAGTTTTTTAGGGGATTGCATCATCTTGTTTTCTTTGAACACATCTTAGTTATGAATTACATCCCTTACTGTTGTAATTGTAGTTACTAACCTTAAAACTTGTGGGTTTTTTCTATCTAATTAGGAGAGAAAATAGCTTTTTTCTGCTTTGTGAGTACAATGTGTTTCTTAATGAAATTCTGCAAAGCCAAATTTATGGCTGATCTGATTTTCATAACAAAATCAGTTTCTTTTCACTTGATTAAAATTAATATGTAGTCATTGTATATGTTGAACATTTGACAAAGAAATGCAGCTCCCTGACTGATTAAGACCTAGTTACTTTTCTCTCCATATTTTTAATATGCTTATTTTTCACTCTTACAGTTTGTCCTTTGTTCATGTTGAGGGTCACTGTCTTTAAGCATGTCTCAGTGTCTGTTAGGCCACATTTGCGTAGGTCTACCAGGATGGTGAATGTTTCATCTTTGCAGTCCTGAAAAAAAATGCCAGCAGTTATTTCACGAAAGTCGAATTACAGTAGCTTTCCCTGTAAAAACTTCTCTCAGCTCTGAGAAAATATTTCTGTTTCTGAAGAAGATACACACTCTCACAAATCCCTGACCCTCTTTGGCTGAAGATTCAATTTTGCCCTGTTGTAATGACTAGGAACAAGAAAACTAGAATCTGTATTTTATTGATTATACCCATATGGATATCATGATGGTTATCTGTATTCATATTTGGTGTTTTTATTCATGCCAGCTTCTGATGTTTGATTCAATTCTACTGTAACTCTCATCTTTCTGTGGCTGCTATCTATACTAGACAAAAATTTCAGATAAAACATGTCTCAGGTGAACAGTAACATACAACATTTTATTTCATTTTACTGAATTGTGCAGGTGAGGAAAAAGGAAAGCAAAAAAATGGAAAAAGCCCCTAAAAGATCAAAATATTTCACTTACACATGCCAGTAATTAAATATTTTAATTATCATTAACTTCTAATTTTTCTACTTCCTTTAAAAATGTTCAAAACCAAAATTAAATGTATCAGGTAACTTGAACTGATTTTCTCTAGTTGAACTTCACAGAATGAAACAAATTTTGGTTTAAAATCTTAAATTTAATTTTTTTAAGAACCGTTGGTGTAATTTTTCAGAGTGATACCATCTGGCCAAATGCCATATAATAGAGTAACATGACAAAAATTATGCAACTCAGTAAGAAAGCTGGATTAATCATACTGAAGAATGTATACTAAGCAAATTCTTTAAAAAGACAATGTTGTTCAATTACTCTATCACAGAACTGGAAATTTTCCAGTGAACACTGTATATAGTTGCATGACATCCTACTAGTTAAATGATGATTGTCATTTGAATGGCAGCATAGTAAACATCTGGCTAAGTGGCAGGTAATTTAATGTCTGCATGTCAAAAGTGCTAAGATGCAGAAGTGTTGAGATCACGTTTTCTTTCTATAAATGTATGAGGCTTTATGACCTACTAATGTCTGAGTCCCACCTTAGAAAGGACGTAGGTGCAGTCTCCGTGGTGATCATAACGTTTTTTATCATATGTGGAAATGTGTGAACCTCCCTCTACTGAACATGTTCCTGGGCATGACATGTCTTGGCAGCTCCACTGGCCTCCATTGCAGGTACTGGAAGAATAAAGTTAGCTGAAATCAGTAACAGTGGCCCAGAGTAACAGTGGTGTTAGGTTCAGCTGGTTTGCTATTGCTTTTCCCTTCAGGCTGTAGTTTGACACATAGTGAATCTAGACTTAAGACTTTCCAAAACATTGTGAACTTGTAATGGAATAACTCTGGTAACCATTCACCTTGCTTATTTAATTGTTTTCTATCTTTGGACAGGTGAACTCTCCAAAACAGGTATTGGATAAATAATTGTTTGGGTTTTTTCAGCTAACATAAAGCACAATGACAAATTGAAATATCTTTTGTGGGGTTTTTTGTTTTCTTTTCTTTTTTTTTTATATAATTGTATCATAAACTGATAAATAAGGAAATGTAATTTCACATTTACTCCTGATGCAGGTTGTGTCTGTCTTCTAAGGTGATGTGATAGTGCACAGGTACAAGATTAATAATTGTGAAATGGCGGTTATATTATGTCATCCCTTGCTTTCTCCAGAGAAAATAAATATTTGCAAATACATTAATGACTGCAACTTCATTCCTCTTAGAGAAATCCAAATGTTTGAACAAAATAAACAAAGAGGAAGCATTTTAATTGACTGATGAGAAATCTAAACATTGTAAATCCTTGCTTCAATCACCATGAGTTAGAGTGCAAAGCAAGTTATGGCTGTTGCTAAATAAAACAAACAATGTTCTTTAGGGGTATTTTGGAACTGTAGTGGTCAGTTAAATACATATGTCAATTACCAATGAGGCAATGGCATATAATAAACTATTAAACTCATTAAATTTATGAGAGGAAATAGTGAGTTAGAAAAGCAACAAAGGTTACCAGGTCTGGCACGGCTCTGAAAAAGAAGCTCCTGTAGCGTAGGTGTTGCCATTGTAAACACAGGAGCACTGCTGCTGGGGAATGCAGCCAGAATTGTTGATGTCATCAAATACAGTCCCTAGATTAAAAAAAAAAAAAAGAAAAGACAAAACCTTGATGAATTAAAGAGGCATTTCCTATACACCAGTTTGTTTATTACAAATCCTTAATATCATCTTAGAGGCAGATCTGCAGCTGTTGTGAATGGATATACCAATGCTGAGGACAGCATGACTATGTCAGTTTGCTCAGTGAAGGATTTGGCTTTTGTATTCTTAAATTCCATCTGCTCTGAAAGGGGGACTTATTGTAGCACAGGTGGCTGGTTGAAAGACTTGTCTTGATCTGTTTGCTGTTCTTTTTTCCTGCTTTCTAAATATTGCACATGTATTGGCAATTAATTCAGGTATCTTTTCTCAGCTGAGACATGACAAATGTTTTTCACTTGCAGCTGTGAAAAATGCAAATACATGAGATTTAAAGCCCACATGGAACCTGCCCAAATCCTACAGGTAAGCTATTGTTCTTTGAGATCAGAGATGTATTTTAGAACTTGCCTGGGGGGCAGAAACAACCATCAATACAGTGTTCTTCACAAAACTGAGATCGTTCAGGATTCGTGCATGTATCAGCACAGGGGGAGTTGCACTCCTCGTACTGCATGTTGTAAGGACACTTCTTGGCTGAAATTTAAAAAGGAAGAAAGATTGATGTTTTTTCAGTCAAAAGTATTTCTAGTTCACTATATATGTAAATATATATATCCATTTAAGGTTTCCAGCTAGATAAAAAAGCGCACCAAACTGCAGATTGACTACCAGCTCTCAAAATTTGCAAGTTTAATCACCTAGATCCATATTTTACTGTTGAGATGTGCATTCCATGAGTAGTGCAGAACTGGCTCAGTGACTGGATTTCTAGGGACAGCAAGGTAATGACCCCAGAAAGTCAGCAAGGTCTGTCTTTCTACTGAAGGCTCCCTTCCCACAAACACCTGTATTGCTAGCAAAATGTAAGATTTAATTCCTAAAACTTTAGCATCTTTTCATTTTCTGATACCATCCTCTGGGCAAGTAGTACCTTATGGGCTTTTGTTTTGGAGCAAATGCAGGTGACAGTATAAACAGCTACCCTGCAATAATCAAGTATGCGTTTAAATCAGTGCAAACTCCTCACTACCAAGCAAGAGGAGATAAATAAGTGCTTAACCAGCTAAACACCTGTGAAGACCCAATCAGTTAATAATTGAAAACAAGAAATGCTGTAGCCACCATGAGAAAAGGAGAGAAACATGAATACAAGCAAGCAAGCAAGCAAGCAAGCAAGCAAGCAAGCTTGTCCCATTTTTTATTCTTGTTTCTCCTTTATTTGCTTCATTTACTGTCCCATTTAATTAAATTACACTTCAACTTCCATTAGTATCCATGTAAGTGTTTATAGTGTTTAATCCAGTGTGCATTAAAATCCTTAGCTTTTTTAAGTCTTCATGTTGGAACTTGTACGTCAGAATCCTCTGAAGAATACAATCTTGAATGGCCTGTAACTTTTCAGGCATCCTCAGCATCATTTGAGAGCTTGTTGTTTGTTAGTTACTGCAGTGGTTTGAGTATGAAGTAAGGCTGTCTCCAGTGATACTTACAGCACAGTTTTGAGGTTCTCCAGTTCAGGGGCTGCCCACCAGCATGAGCACACTGCCGGGAGTATTCAGCAAAGGTGTCACAAATACATGAGGCGTTTTTAGATTCTTCAGAGCGGCACAAGTCATCTTGGCAAGCTGTAATGTACTCTCTAACATCAACAAGGTCATTACATTCTGCAAATGCAGAGCTGGTCAATGTTTTCTGGCATATGTCATCCTTTGGAGAAAAAAAAAGTAAAGAACATCCAGTAAATGCCAAGAAGCTTTTTTTTTTTTTTGTATTATTACTTTATGTAATTATTATTTAATAGAATCTTATCGCCCTCTTTAAATTACGGTCGCCTGAGGGCTTTTCCTGTTGACCTGTCTGAAGTTGTAGAAGGGAATAGATAAATTTGAAAGAAAAATACAAGAATAGTAAAAAGATCCTTACAAGATTATCAGAGCAATTAGATGGCAGGGCAGAAGTGGGGTCTTCACAGTGTTCTGTTGGCCCATCCATTTTGTGCATATTTCCAAATTGCAAGGCAGACATCCTAATATCTGTAGAAAAGAAGTTTAATAATGGAGGTTGGGGGGTTTTGTTCAGTGCAACTGCCTGTTATTTTTTTCTTCTCTAAAGAATTCAGCTCAAGACTGGACAAGGCAGTTAGTTCCCTTAAGTCTTTTAATGTGATCATCACCTCTTCCAAAGGAAGCACTGACTCAATTTACCTTGCACAGCACCCTGGAAAAAGTAAACATTAGAAAACAATTCTCAGCCTACTATGTCTAGATGCACACCAAGATTTTTACTAGAAACATAACAAACTCTTTCCAGATTATATTGAGTCCATGTAGGGAAGAGAAAAAAAAATTCTAAATAGGGATTTGAAAAACAGAGACTGGTGTAAGACAAGATTTAGGAAAACGCTCAAACTGGGGATTGTTTAAAAAGATAAAGATAAGATCTTACAAAGATTATGCATTTCAGCAGGGAAATGTGGATATACCAATTTTAAGACAGAACTGAAACAAGAAATGTACTGTTTACAAAATTCAATTGCCTTTTGTTTTATTGAATATATTTCTGTATTATTTATCTTATTGGTGAAAATCTCGATCATTTTTATGGAGTTAGCTAATTAGATATACCAAAATGGTGTACAACAATGGCATGCAAGAAATGTGCAATCAGTTGTTAGCACCAGTACTATATTTACACTTAAAGTATTAAATCACATGATCTGATCTCTGTACTACATATCTTTAAACAGAGATTGAATCATATGTTCTGAGTAAACAATTTAACAGGATAGGAAAGAGGAATGCTGATGATGTCAGAGATAAAATAATACAAAACAAAAAAAGCATGTTGGAGACCCTGCAAGCCAATTTTTTTTGTTTAAAAAACTTACTGTTTGAAAAGAACTCATTGTAAATTGGAAGGCCATTGAAGTCCCCGCAAAGTCCACAAGTCTGATTGGCATATTTCTCATTCAATTCCAGCTAAAATGACAGATAGTAAGTTCACAGAAGTTAGTATAAACATTCTAAAATATATTCAAGACCACAGAAAAGACTTGCACCTGCTGCCTCTAAGTATTTTTTGTCAGATCTGTGGTATTTTATTTAGCAACTTAATTCAAACCTGGAGGATAGAATAAAGAGCTGGCCTGGATTTGACCTTCGAGGTGGAGTCTAAGCTATTGATGCTATTGACACAGACTTCAGTTTTCACTGTAGTATCTATACTGCTCTCAGCCTCTTTCTATTGATTCTTCAGGAAGAAAATCAAATCCTCAGCAAAAATGAAGTCCTAGAAGAGTGAAATTCTGCTAGAAATATATATATTTGAAGGAGTAATTAGGCCCTATAACAATACCAATAGCTAATTATATAGAAAGTGATTTTTCATCCTATTTTACTCAGACATCTGCTATCCACTAGGTATAAATCCATGTAATTTTCTTTAGGACTACTTGGATGCAAGCCTATCTTTACTAGGAAATAATTGCTCAACAGTATGAGAGAAGAAGGCAGCAGTAACCCCCTAAAGAGATAAGGACTGGCCTAATCAAAGATTAGCTCTAATCTCTGAAGGTGTAGAGAGGTCCAGGAATAGTTCTTACCAGGATGCTGTCATCTTCATTCCATAATAACACAACACCGATTTTGCTGCCAACTTTCACGTAAATGCTGCTTTTCTCTATCGTAATGCCAGATTGACTATATGGCAGCTGAACTCTGGGAAAAGGCAGAAAAAATACTAGTTAATTTCTGATCCAGATGTTTAATAAGCTTGTGGTATCCAGCATCTGTAGGATTCTAAAATAATGTCTTTTTTTTTTAGAAAAGCAATTGAAAAATAAGATGGTCCAACACTATCAAATATAGATCTAAATTTGGATCAGCTTCTCAGGATTTTTCATCCAAATTTTATTTTTGAGGTAATATTTCAAGGAAAAATTCATTTTCTGTGGTAGGAATTTATAGCATTTTATTTGTTATTTATGTTGGTAAAATTGTCAGATTTATTGAAGAACACATAATTGTTTCTTCCCAGATACACCAAAGTACTTGGTAAGTTTGAAAAAAAGTCTGTGGTTACCAAACAAGTGTTAAGAATAAACTTACCTATTGCTGTTGATCATGACAGCACCCTTTGTTAGTTCAGCAACTACACCTTCAAGCTTCATGGTGATCTGGTTGATTGTTGGAGCATTTGCCACCACTTCACGCCTAATCTGGATGTTGAAGTCCTCATAGGCAGCGTTGCAATGGGAGGCAAAAACATAATTACAGAGCCCAGGGAAGTAGAATATGTCTCCATCAAAGGTCTTGAAGTGGAAGTTGCCCCAAGTGCTGCATACACGGCCATTGTGAGCAGGATTTGAGGCTGTGAATTAAAAGTAGATGTTAAAGAATGGCTTAAAATTCCCAGCATTAGCATGGTGAAAATCAGCTTCTCCCAGGCTTCATTTGTATATTGAACAGTTTTTGCCTGCTTACCTCCATTTGTAATTTTCTACTTATGCATTATAATACTTTGTATTCCTTTATCCATCACCTTATATCTGTTACTCCTATGCCCCATAAATGGTTATTGTTATGTTCAGTTAGATCTTAATTAGTTACCCACATTTCAACTAAGATGACAGTTTAGTATTATATTTCTTAATCATCCTGTTTCTCCTCTTAACTATAAATGACTTGCTTTACCAGTGTCTTTCCCCCTTTGTATTAGATTCTCTGTCTATATCCCCTAAAACTGAACATTAGCTGAATACCTTCCTTTCCTTTACTTACGTGTTACTATTAGGTTTGTCAGCATTGATGGGATGATGTTCAACTTGGCTGAAACTGTGAGAGAAGCTAGGAAAAAAAAAAGAAAGAAAACAAAAACTAGTACAATAATACCAAAATTTGCAACTAGGATAGACCTAGAAAGGACTAGACAGTTAATATGCCAGATCCAATGAAACAATGTTATGCCTGGTTTATGTTCCACAGGCTATGGGTCAGGTTAAAAGTGCATACTAAAATTCAAACTCAGAATAGTTAAATCATAAGATATTGCTTTCAGCTGTGATGATCTGCATTTTCTACATTTTAATTTTGACTCTTTTACAAAAATCTCTGTTGCATTAGGAAGGCAGAAATTCACAGCTCTGCATATTGGAGTGCTTCAGACACACTGAACAATACAAAGGGCTAAGCTGTACAAAATTAGCATCTTATTGGTACAAAAAGTGTAGTTGCCTTCTTATTACACCTCCTCTTTCTAAGGAGGGAATAAAAACCTTAATTATCACATTTGCTCTTTGTTTTATATTTTTCTGTTAGGGGGCTGAAAACCTTTTGAAATGACCAGAAATTGGTTGTACAGGATGGTCACAAATCATTACATGGTGAAAATCAATGATGATAGACTTTTTGATTTCCCAACATCAACCACTGATTTTAGCAGACTAAAGTGGTCTCATTTCCTTGTTTATAAGGAACCAAACATCCTGCATATATATTCCACTTTGATTTTTATATATACATGTTCATGCACATAGGCATACAGCCTCTACAAACACACATCTGTTTTCTTAGTTAACTGTGATTATACAAATATAACCATACTCCATGTGTGTGTAGTAGTTGGTGTATAATAAATCTACTACTATTCTTAGAGAGAGAGAGAGAGAGAGGGGCTTGTTAATACATATTTCTCTTTATTTGACACTACTGACAATATGCTAAGAAGTTTTTTTTAGGTATTTTTAGTATTTAGTATAGATGTAGTAAATAAGTACAAATATACAGTATAAATAAATGTACCATTTTGGTTTTGTAGAAGACCCCCAGAGAATTTGCCTCCTATTTGGATTCCAATCTGACCTCCTGTGAAAAAATTGTAAAAAGCATATTAAGAGTAATGTCCTGTATCTGTCCTGTATCTGAACTTCTAAAGCAAATCATTTAGACCCAAATACATCTCTGTAAAATGAAGGGGAGAGTCAATTATCACATCAGAAAAAATGAAACAGGCTCAAAGAAGATGGTTCAAACTCACTTTTCTCTGCAGAAAACCTTACAGCATCATGCTGTAAGTCTATTTGACCAAGGGTTCTTGCTACCCCACCTGAGGCAAAGACTTTTGAGAGATGACAAACTCTGACCTGAATGCCTTGAAGTCTAGAAAAAGACTGACTCTGACCTCCTGGATTGGTGCTCTAAGCTCTTGTATTTTATGAGTAAATATGGCAGGCATTTTCTGTAAAAGTTGAAGGGCTACAACTTCATTTTGTGAAGGATTGAATACAGTCAGCATGCGATAACTGTGCTTGGAACATACTGACTAACATGTACCTACAACCTGCCAACTCTAAATCCTCACAGGATTTAAGCGATGAAATGACTAATATCTGAATCCTTATCTGAATTATGTGAATGAGCACTGTAGGTGTCTATAGAGAATTTCTCAGTCAAAGCAGGACTGCTTGTGTAATTTAGCCCTAAATTAAGCCTTTTTTCTCCTTATACAATGGGCGAGAAGAGTTGCCTGACTTAGAACTGGATCCATAAGAACCATATCACTGAACTGGAAGTCAAATCTGTGGAAGAGGGGGAAGTGCCATAAACCTCAGTTGCCTTTGGTGCTTACGTTCCTTTCTGAGCATTTTCTCCACTGAAGAACCTCAGCCCATGTACCTCTATGAAAGCTGAACAATTATCTTTGCCTTTAAAAGAACTGGATCAGGAGCACCTTTTTTAAAAAAATTGTTTTTCTAATATAACTTCATCAACAATGTAAGCAGATTTAGTGTTTGATCCCAGAGCTGGGGAAGAATGCCTGCTTGAAGGAATTCAAGCCCCCACTCCAAAAGAGGACTCCAAGAGACTTCTGGCTTTGGAAGAGAGGGTTCTGGGCAGCCCCACCATAGCTGAAGTTGCTGCAGTGTCTGCAGTTTCTTTCAGCTCTAGGCTTTTAATTCTTTTCTGTTTAACTTTATGTGTGACCGCTTGTGATGTACAGAGAAGTAATGCAGAACAGAGCTTAACCATTTGCCATTTCTTGCTCAGTTTTGTGTATCATAGATAATAACAGTAAGTAAAGGCATTCATAGCATTATAATTGATACTTATCAGGTGAGAGAAATACCTTTTTAAGTCTCAATAATAGGACAAAGTTTGCTCTCACACAACACATCTCTAAGAATCTCAACAGGTATAGAATCATAGAGGGTTTGTTTATTCTAGCGTGGGAACCTTTGTAACAGAACAAAACAATATATATATGTATTTTGGTCTGTTAATTTTTCTCAAGGAAAGGCTTTTGTTTACTTAGCAAATACGTAATTCCCAAGGAAATTCTAGCTGCATTGGTTTATTCAGCAATTACACAATGTCACGTTGTTGACTATTATAAAAATAAGTGTCTCTCAGTTGTAAGAATAGTTAAGATAATTTACTATTTGATAATTTAGAAACTAACGTAATTATTAAGAATATTTGGATGCATCTTGCTAAGCCTATATTCAGCTGCCAATCCACATGTGCAATTATTGTTATGATCAATTTATAGAAGTTAATATAAAGGCAGGCACAAAATGTTTGAGGAGATGGCATGGGATAGGACCAGTGTTCTTTAGTCAGGACACTGGACAATATTTTCAATGGGTGTGATTCAAATAAAGAGGTGTTTGCTGGACACTGTCTAACCATCACTCATTTTTCAAAGCAGCTTAGCAGATTAGCACTGCACAGGAGAAATAACTTTCTTGTTCAATGAATGGCTGAAGATGCTTTTGACTGACATTGCATAACTCTAACTATAAGTTTATACTCTACATGACTTGTATTTTCAAGTACAATACAAATCAACTTGCCAGTATTTTAGCATTTATTGCACAAACTATAAAGCAACCTAAAATTATACTTGCACTTCTCAATGTTTTGAAAATTATATGCAAGATAAATTTACCCAGGCACTCCGCAGATTTAAAAATGTTAGCTGACAGGGCAGAAATTACTGTACATGAATGGGACTGACTTGTCAAGCTTGTACTCATGCAAGTAGTTTCAATTTGAATGATTCCATTGACTTAACAGGATTACCCATGTTAGTAAAAACTGCCAAGACCAGCCCTGATGGATATAATATTGACAGGAGAAAACAAAACCATACAAAATGATGGACTGTATGTGTCAGATAAATCTCCCCGTCCTGCTCATACTCAATATCTGTAATTTATATATAAATATGAAGGCACGATTAGTTACTAAAAATCCTTGCCATATGAATATTTATTCCTAGTCTCTTTTGCAAAAGAAGTTACAAGAAACCTTGAGGAATCTGATATTACCCCCTGGTAGGTGATAAAATACTGGAAAAGATTGACCAGTGGTCTGATCTAGCAACTGAAAAATGCAGTGTTTTAGATTTAAAAAACCCCATAACATTCATAATGAATCCTAATAAAAAATGCAACAGGAATAAAATGCTTTTGTAAGGCATAAGCGATACTTAAAACCCAACATTTTAAGACATGAATAATGGTTCTTTTGGATTTGATCTTCAAGGCTACTTTCAAAACATAGTTAAATACAGAAGTTTGAGGCAATAATAAATTAACTCAGTCCAGTTAATAGACAGACATTAAATGTTCAATGAAAACATATAAAGAAATCTTGTTTAAATGCCACCATCTGTTAAATGAATCAATGTGTATAGTTGTTTAAAATATATTACTAGATCTAAACAGAGTATTTTTTCTTTTCCCAGTAAAAAAGACAACTTCTTACCTATCTGATGGACAAAGCACAGTGCTAATAGGAAAGCCCATTCTGGTAACGACATCCCCCTGCCAAACCCCATCTTGAGTGGAGTTTGGCACAAGGATGTTGGGTCTAAAGTTGATCAGGACCAGTAGTTCACCTGTGCTTTGTCATTCTTATATAGTAGGTGACTTTGGCTTCGGTCCCAGATTGATTCAGAGAGTGTAGAAAGGTGGGGTTTGGGGGATTTTAGCAAATGAACAGGTAAACAGAGGATGCTCTTCCTTCCTCAGAAACTGGCCAATGGTATTTGCATTTTGGGAGGAGTAAATACATTTACGTACGCATACTTTGTTAAGGTTCGTTCTAATAAAGAAACATAACATGATCGCAAATAAAACACAACTCCTCCTCCTCCACACATAGCAGGTCCTGGAACAAATTTAATTTGGTGTTGCTCTACAGTTACGCAGATGGCATGCAAGTAACTGTTCTAAGTTTTTCAGCACTATAAGGGATGCCAGGGATCGTTGGCAAAAACCCCCACCAGTTTCTGAAGTCTGAGGAGATGTGGAGTATTTCATATGTGGGGACGCAGCATTAAGAAGTCACTCTGTGCTTATTGGGGCAGCTAATCTTGTAAAAAGAACAGAATAATAACCTTGAAGGGTCCTGCACTCTCACATGGTCACTCAGTTTATGCCATGGAAACCCCTTTGAGTGGCACTGACAGGCACTGGACATCCATCTGAGTAAGGCTGAGCCAGCTTCACCTGCGCTGTATCCTACATTTGTTAGAGATGGGCTTAACCTTGGAATCTGTGTCTCAATTCTCTGTGTCATCTGATGTCGCCTTCTCACAGAAAATATCAGGAGTAATTTCAGCCAGACAGCCAGCCTTATACCAGCTTCATGGGTCTAAAAAGATTGATTATGGCCTGTGATTATGATCGCATTGTTTCAGTATCATTCCTGTTTAATTCCACTCACATCCATAGAGTTAGGAGAATTACAAATTAGAGAAATAGGCAATGAATCAAGCCTATAAGGCTTGCCAGTAAAGGTTTAACAGACTTTTTTTTGCTGAATATTGACTTTTTGCAGTTTGACTGGATTATCATTTCAAAGGCAGGAACGAGTGCATACTACGATTAACACGGACAGTATTGCTACTTCATGTCACTTAATGCTTTTTAGCTTGGCATTGGAGACAGGTAGGATGAGTTGCTCTGGGCAGATTTCTATCTCTTTCCAAGGTCAATAGACCTTCCTTTAGTATAGTAAAAGATGGACAAAGGTATTCAAAGTTAATGAAACCATTCTTTTAGAACTGCTAGGTTTGGCAAAAACAATGCACAGTCCAGCACTTGATATACACAAAACATTTTCCCTCAGTTCATCTTCAGCTTAGACCTCCTTCCAGTTTGTGGGGATGAAGGTAGCTGATGGATTAAAAAATCTTCATCATAAGAAATGGAAGAAAAACTGCTGCTCAGTGAGAAATTTGCAAAGAGGGACCTGGGAGATATAATTGGGATGGGGGAGCCACACGAGTAAGGAGCCAAAAAAAAAGTATACTGAGATGTGTAGAAAAGACTTTCTTTGGGTAAAATAGGACAGTTTTACCTTCTACATGTCTGGTAAGATTCAGTTCAGCAGTCTCTGCTGATGTTTATTGTTTCTGCAGGGGAAGGAGACTAAGTCTGGAAGGTGTTCCAATTATAAAATGTGATCCCAGCCAAAGGCCTAACTCCCTTGGCTTCTTATCAAAATCCCCTCCCACAATTACACATTTTAAAATATTTCCGTAAAAGAATAGGAGGTTATAATACAATATTCCTTTCAGGTGTTACTGAAGAGAATGGTGTAATTTTCTTCCAATTTATTTCAGTTCAGCCCCTATTTCCATTTTTGTTTAGCTCTAAATATATTATTATAAAATAAAAAAAATAGTTTCTTTATGAAGTCTGATTGGATTTGATTTCTGGACTGAAATCAGTGGTAGCTTGCTATGGCAATGTTGAGGTACTTAAGTGAACATTTTGGCCTTCTATAGCATGAAACATGTTCTCTGTTAAAATGTCCAGGATGTTTAATGAAGTTACATCTTCATAATGAGTAGTAAGCTGTTTACACACCCTAGATCTGTATCTTTATGCTTCAACAAACGAGGAGAAAAGAAAATACTGCATTTCCTGCCCATAGAACATTGTTTTATTCTGTGCCAGTACTCCTAATGAATATAAATTCATCTGTACATAGAGAAGGCAAATGATTTCTTGTTGACGTTACCAGTTATCAGAATTAAATAAATATACTCTAGTCTCACTTAAACAATTAAATAAACCACCCAACAAACTAGGCTTTGAACAACTAATGTGCATATACCTTTAGCAATAGGCTACTTGTGATGGTTAGAAGTAGCAGAGCTTGCTTCCCATCTCAGGTACACCCACCTCTGCATGAAAGGCATAACAGAGAGTCAGGATCTTCTTGTGTTACTTTGAAACAGAGAGAGTTTCTTGATTTTCCATTGGGTGTATTAGGGAAAGGGAATACTGATAAACTTTCTGAGGGGGCAGTTAGTGCTTTTTCTACTCATCTGGTAAAGGTGAGGAAGGTATCTATACCTAGGATGACTAGGTGTGTCACTGGGGTCAAGGCTGCTTTTTCCTTTGTCCTGTTTCTTCTACTGGAGTTGTTGCTAAGCAGAGTGTTTATATCAAATGCTCTTTTTCTTCTAAAACAATTTTTTGTTTTCACTCATTATAACTCTTTGTGTCTAAAGCAATGCATGTCAGACTTGAATATGCTATTTCACAAAGTATTTATCAGTGCACAGTGGTTGTTGTGAAGGCTGTCCCAGTTGTATTCAAAGGTGTTCTTCAAAAGATGTTGTCCAGATAGTTCTCTCAAACCTTTACGTGTTCTCGAGTTGTTATGATTGCTACCGCTTAGACTGAAATTTTTGATCTCCAGGGAACAGTGACAGTCAAATGATGTTCTAATATTAAGCTTATCCAACCATACAACCTCTCTCTCTTCTTCCCTCTCCACCACAAGGAGAGGGTGAAATTGTTAATAATGTAACAGGTACAGAAGAAATTCAGGTCGCTAAAGTTAGTTGGCTCATGAAATTTTGAAAACAATCAGGTTATGGCATTGTACTGATTGCTGGGGGAGTCACATCTGTAGATAACAATATCACAAAACCCAGAAAGGTTTAAGTAAACATGTTCATTGGTCACATGGATGGTTGCTCCAAAAGGTTATTGTAGATTAAAAGAAAGTAATTCAAGTACTTTTGTGTTTCCCAGAGAGTTATGCTTCCTACCTACTAAATAGGTAGAGAGGATAAAGCTCTCCTCTTCAGTTGTATGAGGGGAAAGAAATCTCATAAGCAAGTTTTGAAGTACTTTAAAAACAGAAACTTAACTGGCTGTTTTTCTTGTTAATGTACACCAGGAATACACTAAGGGACCACTGTTTTTGACATCGCCTAGCACTAACACAAAGGACTTTTGTTCCAAGAGGGAACGTTCAGGGAGATGTTGAAAAGATTATTGATTCTTTTCTCCATTTTTTGCTGGTTTTCTCAGTTTTAATATGTGTGAAACCCAGAAGCTTATCTTGACATCTCAGCACCAACTGACATGGAAATTAATTCAGGATAGATCTGTAGAGTTGACAGACATCAATTACTGGAAAGTTATTGGAAGTTATTGGAATTTAATTGCAACAGCCAAGGATCCAGCTGACAAACATTCTACTTTTATTTTGATCTTGAATCAAAAATATATACTAACAGATTGATCACTAAAAGTACCTCTTGCAACAGTAAATTAAATAATTCTGAGCATGGATATAATATCTCCAATTTTACCTTTTCCTGTTTTCTTGCATAAAAGTAGGAACAAAACTTGAGACATTGATTATACTAGTTTAATGTAAAATTTCAAATGCCAGATAAAATGTAAATATTATATATACTATAAATACTACAATTACAATCTGAAAGCAGTTCATATAATATGAGAGTAGCAAAGGTAAGCATTCAAAATTTAGGTAGTGGTAGTATTAAGGCTCTTAATGAAAGCCAAATTCATTGACCTTCTCTGTTCAAACTACAACTCCACTAGTGTTAAGAACTTCTGCCTCTTCACAAGTGTGAAAAACCAGAGATTGCTGGGACCTGCGTTTTGTGCCCGAGTTGGGTTTGTGCCTGTGCATTGTGCCTCAGATCTGTGAATTGCTTGCTTGCCATGTCAGCTGGCAAAATGAAATAGTTGGATTGGTCAGAGAAGAGACTATTGTCGTGTGGAAAGTGACATAAAGTAATGACAGCGTACAATTAACGTAAACTAAGTTGGTATTAACTTAAGCAGGGCATCCGGCACACCCTCTCCACCTAGCTCTGTAGAGGTTTAGTTGCTGTTCTTGGCTTGTCCTGCTCAAGCTCTTGTCACCTTTCTCTGATAGCCTCAATTGAAATGCTGTTGAAATCCCTGGCCAGGTTTAATTCTATCAGGGCTTTAGCTTTCCTAACCTGATACCTGATTGCTCTGACAATCTCTTTGCATTCTTCCCAGGCTACCTGTCCTTGCTTCGACCCTCTGTAGACTTCCTTTTTGTGTTTGAGTTAATCCAGGAGCTGCTTGTTCATCTATGCAGACCTCCAACTGCTTTTGCCTGACTTCCTCTTTGTTGGGATACATGGCCCCTGAGCTTGGATGAGGTAATCCTTGAATATCAACCAGTGTTCTTGGGCACTCTGGGGCTTTATCCCACGGCACTCTACCAAGCAGGTTCCTGAATCAGCCAAAATCCGCTCTCTTGAAATCCAAGCTTGCTGTGCACCCTCCTCACTGCCCTAAGGATCTTGAGTTCCACCATTTCATGGTCACTGCAACAGGCTACTAGAAAAGTTGCCATACATTGTCTTATCTCAGTATGTTTGGATGCCATTTTTTAGGTTGGGAAAATTCATATATGTATGTACTGAATCATTTTTACCTTGTTTAATGTACTTAAGTTCGTTGTTGTATTGGGTTTGTGTTGCAAGGTTTTTATAGGAGGGTGACTTCTGTGAGAAGCTGACAGAAGCTTTCCTCATGTCTGATAGATCCAGACCCAGAGCCAGCTGGCTCCAAGACAGACCCACCACTGGCCAAGGCTAAGCCCATCAGTGATGGTTGGTAGTGCTTCTGGGATAACGTATTTAAAAAGGAGAAAGAAGTTACTGCACAGAAGCAATTGCAGCTAGAGGAGTGAGAGTATGTGAAACAATTCTGAAGGCACCAAGGTTAGTGAAGAAGCAGGGGTAGAAGTGCTCCAGACGCTGGAGCTGAGGTTCCCCTGCAGCCTGTGATGCAGACAATGGTGAGGCAGCTGTGCCCCTGCAGCCCATGGAGGTCCATGTGGAGCAGAGATCCACCTGCACCCCACAGAGGACCCCATGCTGGAGCAGGTGGGTGCCTGAAAGAGGTTGTGACCCCACAAGAAGCCTGTGCTGGGTCCTAGGAGGACCTGTGGAACCATGTAGAGAGGAGCCTGCTTTGGGGGAGAAATGGGGACCTGGCATTCACCCACAATCAATCCAGCATAATCATGCACTTAATTCAGCTGATAGCATAACTTTTCCATTGCATATGCTGTCTGAAAACTCATCTGGTAGATTTTTCACCTGCAGTACTTGCTTGGCTCTCACAGCGTTAGGATGGTGTTTATAGCTCTCATTTGTTTTGTCTGCCTGGATTTTAGTTCTGTTTTCTTCTACTGCATAGTGTGGAGTATATCTTTCTGGGCCAATGCTTTGTTATCTGTTTGGCACTTTATTATCTGTTTGACACTATTGTGCATTTCCCTTGTCTGTGTATCTTTTCTTTATTTCATAAATTGCTTATTCTGTGAGATACTAATAACAAACATTAGCCAAATCTGACCTTTTGAACCCTTGATGGGAGATTTAGATATAGTTAATTTTTTCTTTTGTTTTTCTGCTCCACAAGCTTGACATAACTATTTCTTCTGTCCAAATAATTGCACATAGCCCTTCTTTTTAATTATTTTTTTTCCCCCAAATCACTCTCGAATTTTTATTTGCATTTCTTTGCCTACCTCAGAATCTGCTGTTGAACACATTTTGGTGTATTTTTCCTTGTGAGGCTTTCTCAATGAATTTCTGCATATGTTCCTTGAAAAACTGTTCAGATTTGAGTGTGCTCATTAGTGCTGCACATATCCCCAAAGCTTGACACACTAAGTTTATGTCCATATTAGTAGGTGACTTTTAGTTCAGTTTGAATATTGTATGAGGGATCCAGGCTCTAAGTTTAATTCCTGTCTACAGTGCTGACTGAGTTAAGAGGCTCAGCTAAACTTCTGCCTAAGGAATCAAGCTTATTATTCCGTATCTCCTTGTTCCTCAGATCAATGGAAGTTACCACCCTGAGCAGACAAACAACAACTGAACGATTCAGTTTCCAGTTCATGGCTCTTCTGCTTCTCCTTCCTCTCTCTATCATCAGTACAGAATATGAGATACATCTACAAGTTGAGAAGTCTCAAGACAAGTTAACTCTGGAACAGCCCAATTTGCAAATAAAAGCTCAACACAGACAATTTTGTTGTGGGCTACCAAGTGTGAAGCAGAGTCCAAGTGTTTTGGGACAGCTAATGCTGTCAGTGAGAATGACCACTGTGGTTCCTCCTGCTGCTCTCCTCTGTGATATTCTGTTCTACCCCATTAGTTAAGATGTGGTTCCCAAGAATTTAAAGCCCACCTAAAGCAGAGTTGTTGCTGTCTCCTTTTTCCCTGCACTGACTACACATGTCCATTCTCTCCCTTTCTCCAGCCTTGGCAGTCTTATAACCCCACAGTGAACCAGGTCAGTTAATGTCCCGGCTCCAAAATTTCATCACCCTTTTGTGCAAGATTATCCATTATGAGTTTAATTATTTTCCATAATTTTAAAAAATATAGGAATCAATAATTTTTTGGTGGCTTATGGTTTGTTGTTTCTCCAAATTCTTGGGTACATGAACTGAAAACATACTTTTTAGGGATAACATATTTGTGGCTTGAAATTTTTTGGAGGGAGCTTCTAGGTCTTCATACAAACCCTCCTCGTCTTCTTGTAAGACATCTGAATACTGTAGGACCACCTGTAAGCCATTTCTCCTTCCTACTGATTCTGTTTCCATCTTTCTTTTCCTTACTCATCCTATTTCAATTTCAGAGCTCTTCTTTAATAGTTAAAAATCACCATAAAATTCTTAAATGTGCTTCTGTCTGTTCAGGGACAGGGAAACAGTGTTCTAGTTTAATTCCTTTTCTTATATATAGTCAGCTTTCATCAAATGCTTCTTAAAAGTAGGATTTTCCAAATCCCTAGGCATTGTCCTGTACATAAGACATCACAAGAGCTGCCATATCTGTGAGGGAGAAGGGCTGAGAGCCTTGTAGCTGTGACTACATTTCTCTGTTACATTGCTCGCCTTATGTTATCTGTCAAAACACTGGTAACTTCTAGATGTTGAAAACACAGTCCAGCCTGGTGATGGGTACACCACCTGCTCTCTGAGTACGTTCTTCAGCCACCAAAGAATGGATGTGAATTTGGTGCTATTTCTCTTGCCCCAGTCTAATGAGACAAAGAAGCTAGGCAGGAATAGGGGTAATCAAGCTTCTGCTTCCCACAGATCACAGCATCATCCTGTATTTTCAGACCAAGCAAGAATTACTGTTCAGCAAAGTGCCGCCTGCCACTGCTGGGGCAGATAAAGCAGTCAAACTGAGTTTCAAACCACCTGCAATTTATTTAAAGTACTTAAGAAACAAAAGCTGATTGTTTCTGGCTACGTTTGAGTATAAACATGGATAGGACATAATTCACAGTAAGAATCTTTGTGTTTCTTGACTGCACTGCTTGACTAATTCTAGTTGCAGCAGAAGGTTTCAGAGTAATAGATCTGTATTGATTGCTGTTATTATTTTACTGCTGAGGTGAGTTTTAAGTAATGTTCTTTACAAATAGAAAGAACAAGCAAAGCAACTCACACTTGGTTTAAATTAATTGTCATTCTGCGTATGGTATTTAAGAGCCAGTCAAAGCAGAATGTTGATGGATCTCAGGCACTCAGGCTTTTCTCTGGGAGAGGCTACAAGTCACCCATTTTGTTTATTATTTGCTGATCATAACTTTTGGTGTATGCAGACATATGCATGCTGCTCTGCTAGTTTACCATAATGAATATATTGGAACTGTCAAAGGAGATGATCCCGATAGCTGTAATGGGGTTAGTTTCTTCACTTCTAATTTCAAATTCCAAAGAGAATTTTAAATGAATCAGGCTTCTTTTCTTCTCATTTTTGTGACATACATCTGCAATGAAGGGAGTTTAACAATTTTATTTCACCCAAACACAACTGTACTATATGAACACATTCAATAAAGGATGAAATTACTGAATTTGTAGAAAATTTGCAAAGAACAGTAAAAACTATTTTTGCAGCTTTCTGAACATAATGAGCAGGATTCTGATCTCATTTAGATTCTTGCATGTCATGGCCAAAAGTACTGAGGTATTCTGCTTACAGATAAGAAGCTTGGGAATCAGATTAAATGCAGATTGTATGGTATTAAAGTGACTCAGCGAAAACAGGAAGTTATACAATGCTGAAGAGGTGGTCTGAGATCCTGAAGGTCATCATCTAAATACCTGCCTGTCATAGGTTCTTTATGAAACTCATGTCAGCGTAAAAAGGATCTCCTCACATTTTTGGATTAATGTATAAACTGTTTAGATCCTATATAGGATAGAGTAGACTTTAACGTGAAAACCAATAGCTGGGAATAAAAATCTTGCTACCATATCATTGCTGAGTTTGTTAGTTCTCTGTCAGGAAATAGCAGACAAGGGTGTGAAGGTCTACACACTGCTGTGAATTTTCTCCAACTGCTCTACTTTTTCCTCACTGATGCATTTCCATGCATCATACTCTACAGCAGCCCCCGGTCCTGTGCCTAAATCTTCAAACTCAGTTACCCACAGACAGTAAACAGCGTTCTCTGCAACTCCAAGCTGTTTTTACTTACATAAACATCCTACCAAATGGCCTTCCAACTTCCTTTTAAACCCAACCTGAGCTGCCTGCAACACTACTGCTTGTATTCCTGTATTCACCCTCCCTATTGCTTTGTAAACCCCACCACACACCAGCATTTCATGCTTTCTGATCCCTCATGGAAGTAAGATCCTTGGACAGATGCTTGCAGTGTACTCCTGAAGCAGCCTCTCTTCCCAATTATTGTTTCTGAATACAGAAGCATGTTTTGCTCTTCTGAAAAGAGGGAATAAAGAGGGTTATAATATGGGTATAAGAGCAGTTAATATTAGGAAATATCAGGACAGGAATTGGAGAAGCAGAAGTGCAACTGTGTTCCATAAAGACATGTCTTCCAGCCCTGATAACAACAATTCCCAGTTACAGTTTATTGTAGCTCAATTACCTCCTCAAACCTGTTAACTCTATTCTTTTGTTAGCATCTGAATCATGAGTAAATATCAAAGTAGCTTATTAAATCACATTGCATATAGAAGTGCTTGAAATTTCCCATTCCAATGAAAAAAGGAGGATAAAAATATATTGATTACATTTTTCTTAGGGTATTCCATATCCATACTACACACTGTCCATAGCTACAATGAGATA